AACACCAAAAGTCAAGGGAGGTTATCAGTGTCACTGCTGTGATGGAGACTAATAAATGTGAAAGGAGGGCAACTCAACTTTAATTTTATTCATTCGTGGGTGATGGGCATCACTGGTTGGTCCAGCATTTATTGCTCATCCCTTGTTGGGTGGGTGACAGCACAGCACAAGAGGGTAAGGGGTACGGTGAGAGAGGTTGTCACTGCCGGTCACCACCACCTGGCTGCAATGGGGGAAGAGTGCACGACTATGTTTGCTGTCTCTAATCTGCGTACCTGAGGTTGTAGGGTAAAGTGGGCACAGAAGCAGTTAAATAAACAGTTGGTTAGGCAAGTATGAAGCTTTCTTGAAGGAACACAAAGCTTTCAGGGTCAATTAGACCGAGAGGTTGAGATTGCAAAGTGTGACTTGTGTCTCCTTCAACTCTCATCCAAATCACAAATGTGCAACAGAAATTAAAATGGCTGCTACCACACCCAGAGTGGGCAGAGGAAGTATTCTTAATCATAGAATTCCTACAGTGTGGAAGCAGGCCATTCAGTCCATCGAGTACACACTGATCCTCCAAAGAGCATCCCACCCAGAATCACCCTCCTACCTTGTAACCCTGCATTTCCCATGGCTAATTCACCTTGCCTACACATCCCTGGACATTATGGGCAATTTAACATGGCCAATCCACCTAAGGTGCACATCTTTGAACAGTTGGCGGAAACCAAAGCACCTGGGGGAAACCCTCGCGGACATGGAGAAAATGAGAAAACTCCACACAGATGGTTGCCCGAGGCTGGAATCGAACCGAGGTCCCCTGGCACTGTGAGGCAGCAGTGCTAACCACTGAGACACCATGGCAACCTAAATTGCTGTCTTTTATCTCTAAGGGAGGGGGCTCCATATTTGTGCAAAGTGAGGCTCTTAATAACAATTAACATTAAACAAACACCGACACAGTACAGGTGAAGGACACTTGTAATCACCAAATCCTGTACCTCATGCACTGACTCACAAGGGGGAACAAAGGGGCATTGCTCACCTTTCAGGTACTCCATTCCTTAGAGGATGAGGCTATCTCAGGGCATTCCAGAGGTGCCCTGACATACCACGCTCCCTCTCCCAGGGACCCAAATGCCTCCATCAAATGAGGCTGAGGAGGTTGCACGTGCACCTAAACAGTAAACCCTGAGCACACCAGAACCCCCTCGGCTTCAGACTCCCAGATGATGCCTGCCAAAATCACCTCCAAAAAGGTATGAAAAGCTGTCAGCAGGCTTCCTTAAGCTCAGCTCTGTGTACATTAAGGCTTGGTGGTAGGAAAATAAAGATTAAAGAACATTGTAATCACTGAGGGCACTGGGGCAAAGAACACTGAAGTTCTCATTCATTGGCTGTCTTCTGGAGTGAAAGTGGCAATTTAAACTAGATGGCGGGATTTTGGAAGTCAATCAGCATAGTTCAGCCTCTCTATGTCTCAGTGATGGATGAATGCTCCTAGCAAACAATGATTTGAGTCCTACAAGTGCAGTCCCATGTAATCACGCGTAACTCCACATTGAAGCCCTGGCCACTGATGGGAAGGGAACAGGTTAATTTATAATTTATGCCAAGTAATGTAGTTTCATGTTTTAAATTATAAACCAAGCATTCCCTTGAGGGCAGGAATGTCTCTGCATTAACACTAACTGACTCCCTGCTTCTTCCTCTGAAAAGAGGGGTGGCAAATCCATCTCCCCATTAACAGTCATTGATCTAAATTGTCCATGCTGTAGTAAACAATCACTAATCTGATGTCCCTGTTGAGCAAATACTGCGGTGCTCCTCTTGAGTAGTCCAGGCAACAGAAGCATATCTTTAGAAGACCAACTGTCTGTTCATTGATGGTCCTAGTGAGAACATGGGTAGCATTGTAGAACTGTTTGGTGTCAGTCTGACTTTTGCATACTGGAGCCATTACCTATGTCTTCTGGGGGTACCACTTGTCACTAATGAGGTGGCCCTGGAAATGATGCATTGACAGGCAAACATTTGTAGAAGCTGTGTGTGGAATGTAAGTGTCACGTCAGCTCCTTGGACAGTGGGCTCACATCTTTGTTTGTTATTTATTTGTAGCACATGGGCATCGGGCTCTTGTTAGGCTGTTGATGGGTGAAAGCCAGCCATACAACCACCTCCACATGGGGATCTGCATCCTCCATAATCTAAGAGTTTTTGGCACCCTAGGTGGCCTACGATTTTGGTGCACCGCTACTACATTCAATATAGAGAAAGATGAGAAGTCTGTAATGAAATTTTGCCTTTGTGTACTGGGCATTCAAAATTAACAAAGTCAACATGAAATAAATATTTTTTATTATTTTCCTGCTTTTCCCTAATCCTCATACAATTATAACATAACATTTAGAACTTTGTTTTTCATGCTTTTGTTTTCACAAATTGGGCACTAAATTGTTTGAGATAAAGTATTGAAGCTATTTCATGTTCCATCTGTCTAAGAAGTCTCTCTTGCAGCATGGGAGACCAAAGGTTTGTCTTTATCAATTTTAAATTTGAAAAACTACGCTCCCTACTAGCACCAGAAAGTGGAAGGGTAAGGATAATTCAAAGAGCAATGAAGATGTTGGGAAAGTTGTCTGTGAGTGTGTTTAAAAATAAACTTCAGCACACCTTAAGATGTCTTAGAAGTCATCATGAAAAAGCTTTCAGTTCACTGCACAAATCTACTGCATTTTGAATTTCCATGTTGGAACGTCAGTTCTAGCTTCAAGCAATGTTCTAATATCTGTTTTGAAGTCTTGTTTTACAAGCTGTGCACATTGTTGAGGAAACTAAATATTGAATCAAGTTACAGTATCAAATTCTTTTTTACCTAAGTGGATTGCAGTATCTAGGGCTGAAAAGTAAAAGTTTACTTTGAAGTTTTGTTTTGGAACCTGAACAGATTTGTTTTTGCCTCAAATATAAGCTATTGCCTCGTTCTCCAAATATGTGCTTGTTCTAGTTGGTAGATCAAATTCCTCAGCAATCTCCCAAATGTATACTATTGTCTTTTCAAATGTTTAATCACTCTGCATTCCTCCAGAAATATCTTGGTCTGGTTCAGCTGTTGCATAGCAGAATGTATGTTGGAGTCCTTTACCTGAAGTTTCTTACTGGTCAGGTTAATCTCAAATAAGATATCATACCACAAATTGAGCGAAACTACAAATTTGAACTTGCAAAGGCAAAAGAAGCAGAAGAACTTCTGCATTGGCACATACTATTGCCCGATGGTCCTGTTAAGATAATATCATCCGAAATGTCATCATAGACATCTCCAACCTAATACCAAAGAGACTTGAAGGCATCAATTCAACTCTCCCATCTTGTTTAAATAAATGTTTTCAGAGTTACGTTGGGCATGAAGAACTTCCCAATGGCATGCTGAATTTGGAAAAATAAAACACATATATGTGTTATACCAGGTGAAAGAAACTATTTGCCTTCAAACAGTATCTGGTGATGTCACTGACTTTTCGGCCCTCAGCCCCTCTCTTCCCTCCCACAACAGCAATAGGATCCCCATCATCCACACCTACAACCCTTACCAGCATGTACATCCAAAGGATCATTAGCCATCATTACTGGCACCTCCAGCAGAATGCCACCACCAGACACATATTGCCCTCCCTTGTCAGCCCTCCACAGGGACTGCTCCCTCCAGCACATCTTGGTCTACTCCTCCTCCACTCCCAACACTTCCCCCCACACACCCACGGCACCTTTCCATGCAACTGCAGAAGGTGTAACTCCAGCCTGTTTACTTCCTCCCTCCTCACCATCCAAGGCTTCAGACACACGTTCCAGGTGAAGCAGCGATTTACCTGCACTTCACTTAATCTGGTCTACTGTAGTCACTGCTCACAATAGGGTCTTCTGTACATAGGGGAGACGAAGTGCAGACTTGGTGACTGCTTTGCAGAACACCTACGTTCTACCACAGAAATGACCCTGAGCTTCCGGTTGCCTGCCATTTCAACACAGCACTATATCCCCTGGCCAACATCTCTGACTCCAGCTTCCCGCAGTTCTCCAGCAAAACTCAGTTCAAGCTGGAAGAAGAGACTTCATTTTCAGCTTGGGAACCCTGCAGCCTTCTGGACTTCATATGGAGTTCAACAATTTTAGGGTTTGAGTACCTTCGCCTATGTCCTTACCCCAACCTCCACACACTAGTCCTTGTCATCACATGGGCTGCCACCTCAAACAACCCATTGTCAGCGCTAATGATTCCTTTCAGCAACTACTGATTCTCCCAGGTTGACCTTTACCCATTTCTTTGTCAGCCCAACTGTGTTTTTCTCTCTCTCTTAGGGCTTCATCTCCACCAATTGTTTACTCGTCCCCACTCCTCAGCTCCATTTTCAGCATAAAAACCAACCCTTTTCTAGCTACAAGGTGCAGGGCTGGATGAACACAGCAGGCCAAGCAGCATCATAGGAGC